TCATTAACAACCCTTTATGTTTCAGAACAATAATGGCAAAAAATATGAAGACTGATGCGGTCGAGGTTATTTATAATGCCAAGGAGAATATCTCAGGACTCAAACCTCCAATTGTCAAAAATCAGCAGGAGGTAATGGAGAACGAATCGATAATGGTGTGGAATGAGCTAAGTGAAAAGATACTGAAGAACGACTGGGAACGAGCAAGAGAAGCTAAAAAAGCTGTGGAGGAGAAACAAAGAGAGTCTTTAAAACAGAGAGAGGCTTCTGGTGAGTCTTGGGTTTCCAAGCATTTTTTAGTGGTCAAAGATGGTAAAGATTGGGACTGCTCACCGCTACAGTCTATGGTTCCTCAGGCTCCACTCGTCATTACAGAGCTACACTGAGAATCATAAACCTACTTCAAGATTCCAAGTCTTTATGTTGACGATAGTGTTATACATTCGGTGATGCGTTATATGGATGACCTCTTGAAGCAAAGATATTTTCTTCTTCATTGACACATCTTTATACAAACAAAATGCGATACCACTAGAAATATGAAATAATATTTTCTATCTTCACTGGAGTAGATCCCCTTAGCAGTTCACCACAACAATTGGCCAAATGTGTGTTCAAGCCTAGTGGGTTTGATTGCATTATATTAGGTTTGTGTTTTAATACTCCCACTTAAACTTGGCATCAGGTGAAAACCAAGAAGCTAAGTTTGAATGCACAAAATGTTTAGGATCTTATCAAGAGGCATTTAGGAACTGAAGGTAGCTACCGAATAGACTTGGCACGAAGATTCATTGCAGATCACAAGGAAGATGTAGAATGAATTCAAACTCTTTTGCAGAGATGATATCATCATTTGTTCTTCAAAGCCAAATGAAGTCACTTGTTTCTCTAAATTCTCTTTTACCCATTTTTCTTACGATCTATATTAGTAGAGTTTTATGAACTCTCTTGGAGGTATGTCTGACCTTAACTCACTTTATATGTGACATTGCAACAAGAAACTGTAAGTAGTTTCAAGATAAGTATATATTCATGACGTCTACCTTTTAAGGACAAGAGTAAGAGTGATGGTGCTGATACCTTACGGGAGAAACCTTTTTTTGCAAGAAAGATTGAATAGCCACAGTGAAATCTTCATCGAGATCTGGAGCTTTATTTGATGGCATACCAAAGAGGACTGATTTGATTTCTTCAGCAGTTCTTCTCAAACGTTTCCTCGTCTCTAGAAGCACCAAAACTAAGCAAATGTTGCATCTCATCCACCAAAAACATTCTTAATGTCGTGTAACCTCTGCTGGAGAAAATGTCCATTATAGAAGTGAGATTTGAACCTGAACTAGAACGGATCACGGATATGACATTCTTAGATGTATGGGACTACCAAAATGTTTTATCGTTCTGATCGATCGCCCGCTTTTAGCCAATTAGTTTTTGCTTCTTGCTTATAAAACCGTTTTTCCAAAGTAGCATTTTTGTTCAAGCGATTCGACACCTCTGCTCATTGGGCAACTTACGACACAGATCAGAGTAAGCGTCCTCACTTATGCAGGATGCAATCCTGATTTTTTTCTCTATCCAAAGCAGAGAGATGTTTCAGACCTTTTAGCTTCTTAGAAAACCGGAAAAGGGCGGGGGCGGATCGAGAACGGAAAAGAACCTCCGTACTCCACCAGAACTGAGTGACAGTAGGAACAAAACCTTCAAAGAGAAGTCCACAAATTTTTAGCTTCTTTAATTTTGTGGCCAAAACCCATTTGTTACTTCATGTGTCCAATCTCAATCCAACTATTATTTCACGAGCATAAAGATCTAATAATGATCAACTCACCGGATTGTTTGATCATCATCTTACAATGAAATGACTTATTTTACTAAATCAGGTGACATTCCTTCATTATTACAATTTACAAGTAATCTAACCAAATAGTATTGAACTATTGAGATTCCCCCAACAACAACAGAAAAAAGATAAAACAAGAACACAAATTAAGGCTATGGTATTTGATTATATGTAAACCATCTGATAACAAAGTTTCTCTACCGGAACATGATTATAGAGAGAGTAGAGAGATCTCTCACATTACTATTAGCTGTGTGATTCCTCTTCTTTTAGCTACAAATCGGACAACGAACAAGACCGTTCTCATTACAATCCGTACACCTAACGACCACTGCATCACTTCCCCATCCTTCCACCACTTTGCAGCTTCCATTACAACCCGAACACGGCAAGAACGCTAAGCCGCCGCATCCATCGCAGCCGCCTCCTCGATCTTTCTTCTTCGGAATCCCTCGAAGCAAATCTCCGAGCAGACCTTCTTCCACCAACCTCATCACTTCCTCTGCTCCACCAATGTACCTCCCCTTCACGAAAACCCTAGGCGGCAACATCACCGTCGTGGCATTAC